GCCATCATCATAATCATATTCATCACGATCATCGGCATTCTTATCCTCCTTAAACCAAGCAAAGAAACATAAAAAAATTAAAAAATAATTACAGAAAAATTAAAAAAAACATCAACAATGTAAATACATCATAAGAAACAAAAAATGGATAATTTAGGACACCAAAGAGAGGCTAACCTGGGAGTCGTCATCGCTATCTACCATCTTCCTTGATTTCTTCTTCTTACCCACCTAAAACCACGCAAAGAAACATAAAATTAAAACAAAAATACACCAAAAAAATAAATAAATAAATAAAATCAACAATTTAAAAATATCATAATCAACACCAATTGGATAATTCAGGACACAGAAAAGAGAGGCTAACATGAGTAACTCTATCCTCAAATCCATCAAACCCCAAATCGCTGTCACTATCATCTACTATCTTCCTTGATTTCGTCTTCACCATTATTACAGAAATACCTACAACCCAGCGGAAAAAAAAAAAGTAGAAAAAATCAATTACAAAAGCAATCTGAAAAATATGCATGAAATGCATAAACATCAACAAATTGATAATTACTGCTGCGCTGAATTGAAACTCACCTTTCCACCGGAAATCGCACAAAAACAAAAAAATTAATCTTCAGCGGACAGAATTGTGGGAATTAGGGTTTAAGTTCTACTGAGGGAGAATGAGGGGAGAGAGAGTGAGAGTTTAGGCGGGATATAATTGTAATTACGCCACTTACGTTATTTTTTTATTTATTTATGTAATTAATAATATTCTGTAATTTTTTTTTTTTTTTGACTTTTATCATTTCATTTACATATTTAAAATTGGGCTTGATGTCAATATTAAATTTGGATTTTAAATATGGGCTCATATTTGATACTAGCCCAATGAAAAGGGCCTCGATAAAATTTTAAGCTTAGTTTGTTGATGGCATACGTGAAAGATAAATTAAGCAAATACCATATAAAGTTCAATTTGAAAGTTTGGTTTTTATAACATCTTATATTAATTTTGATTTACTAAGAGCATGTTCCATTATTTTAAACAATTGATAAGTTTTTACGTCTGATAAATTATTTTAACAATTGATAAGGTGTTAAATTTTATTTTTATAATTAATTTTTAAAGTGTTTCGATAATTAGTTTATAAGCTATTTGTACTCATTATAAGATCTTACATATAAAGATAATATGTTTTTGTAAAAAATAAATTAAAAGCTCTAAAAAAAGTAGTTTATTTTTTGAATTTTTAAGATCTTCTAAAAAAAATTATCAGACTTTGAAAGAATGTATAAGCTCTTAAACATAAATTTTTTTAACATCTTATAAATTTAGTTAAATATTATTATAATCCAGATTCGAAACCAATACTCCCTTTTCATATCAATTCATTAAAAAAAGAAAAGAAAAAAAGGACCTAATACAAATTAGGGGTCTTAAGATAAAAGTCCCTGGTGACAAACCTTATTAGAACTAAATGACAAGTCTAATTAAAATTTGCTTATTGCTGCCGTCTCCTTTGCCTCTACAACCATCCGCTTATTGCTGCCGTCTCCACCGCCCCCTCAATAGTGGATTGGATGTTGGAATTTTCATGATTTCCAATAATTAATATTGAGTAATATTAATTTAATTATGTAAAGATTAATTTCATTTATTTACTTGATCAAAATCATGAAGTAAAGTGAATGAAAATTGTCTTGATTAAATGGTTAACGTTCAAAATATGTGCGCTCGGTGTGATCGAGTGATATGACTAGTTTGGGTTTAGATGTCCACAAATATTACTTTTGGGGACATTTAGTAGTTAGTCAAATTATTTGAACTAAAATTCAAATAATAAAATACTTGGCCCAAACCAAATTAATTAATTGGCCCATGACCAATTAATTTTCCTACGTTTTTTGAACTCGGTAAAAAGAACAGACACACCTCTCTGCTTCTTCTTCCAACCATTGCATCCCTCTGTGAATGGATCTCTACAACCTATAAATAAGGCAGAATCTGGCCAATTCGGTACGGAATTTAATCGGCAATTGAGAGATAGTTCTTCATATTTTTCTTTTTCTGCGTCAAAGTTCCGTTCGTTGTTCAAGTTTGCCGTGGGTCGAATATTCGTGCAAATTTTCGACAACCGATCGTTGTACCTTAGGAGACTACCGGGAAGAGACTGTGCACCGCTGACAGCCCGAAAATATTGTCTTAAGGGAATTGCTTTGGCAAGCCTCGATCGTTCTTTGTGTTTTTCACAATTCCTCTTTTCGACAAACAAGTAAGTATTTTCGTTTACGCATATTGTTATTAATTATACCAACATTGGAGTGGTGGAGAACGAAAGAGACAAAGAGAGATAGAGATATCTCTTGTGAAGAGTTGTCTGTTTATTAATTTGAAATCTAGATTTTGATTTACTAATGTGTTTTCGTTCTCTTGTGAAGAGTTGTCTGTTTCTGTGTGAAAGTGGTATTACTTTAAATATTCAATTGGGATTTCTCATTCAAATATTAGATGTAAATCTATTATGTTTAGTAAACAAATATTATTTTATTACTGCTATTTGAGAGATTAAGGTATATAATACTTAATTACTTATATTCTTAATTACAGAATATTTGGATTTGAATATAGTTTGACTTGAATTATCTTCAAATTATTTTGGCTTTCTAGTGTAAAATTCTTTTCGTTTAAACTTTTTATGTGAATCTGAAAATTGTGTAGCAAATGGCTTCAATCAATGATGCCGCTCCTAAGGTTGTCGGCGCGGCCGAAAAACCAAACAAGTTCATGGGCACGGACTTTGCTACTTGGAAGAACAAAATGTTTTTCTACCTTACTACCATAAATTTGGCTAAGTTTCTCAATGAAGAGGCACCTAAGGCAAATGAAGGAGAAACTCCCGAAAATAATAAGAAAGTCTTCCTAGCCATTGATGCGTGGAGTCACTCTGATTTTCTATGCCGTAACTACATCTTGAATTGCTTGGACGAACCGTTGTACAAAGTTTATAGTCCTATAAAGACTGCTAAACTTTTGTGGGATAGTTTGTCCAAGAAATACAAGTCTGAAGATGCGGGATATAGGAAATTCATAGTAGACAAATTCCAATTTTATCGAATGGTCGATAGCAAAACTGTGAGTGAGCAAGTGAATGAACTCCAACTCATGATCTACGATATTCTCGCCGAGGGTCATGAGGTGAGTGAATCCTATCAAGTGGCTTCCATAATTGGAAAGCTTCCACCGAGTTGGACGGAGTTCAAACACTACCTAAGGCACAAGAAATCGGTTGTCAAATGGACGATGGAGGAACTCATAGCAAGGCTCAAGACCGAGGAGGATAATAAAATTACCGACAAGGGTGGTCAATACATGGCTAAGGCACACGTAGTGGAGAGCTCGAAGCAGAGCAACAAGCGAAAGGGTCCTACATTTAACAAAGGACCAAACAACAAGAAAAATAAGAGGTTCACCGGAGCATGCTTTGTTTGCGGAAAGAATGGACACCTTGCGAAGGAGTGTCGCCACCGCAAAGAAAACAATAAAAATGAAGCAAATGTCACCGTGGACGATAATATGCACATTTCGGCAGTTGTAACAGAGGCCTACCTATTGAGCGATACTCGAGGATGGTGGGTAGACACCGGGGCAACTCGTCACATTTGCTATGACAAAAGCATGTTCTCCTCCTACAAAAAGTTGGAGCAAGAACAAAAGCTCTTCATGGGAAATGATGCTTATTCGGTGGTTGAAGGACAAGGACAAGTGATCCTAAAATTCACTTCCGGAAAGGAAGTTACCTTGAACGATGTGGTACACGTTCCGGATATTATGAAGAACTTAATCAGTGGTTCTATCCTAACCAAGAAAGGTTTCAAGTTGGCTTTTGAGTCGGATAAATTTGTACTAACCAAAGGAGGGTTTTACGTCGGAAAATGATACCTATGTGACGGTCTCTTTAAGGCGAACGTAGCCATTATCCGCAAGAACTAAGTTACTAAATAATATTAGTAATATTTAGACTCTTTTTGTGGTATGATTTGTAAGAACTTATTATTTTTATGTCATATGTGTTTAAGCCTGTAAAACAATTTTTATAAATTATTTTGGCCAATAATTTTTCTTTAAATTTTTTTTCGCCTGACTTTGTTATATTAAAAGTCTTTATAAAACTTACATATCAAAATGGTTTCCAAAAATATTGAGTAGATGAAAATTTGTGTAGTTATGCTTTCGCATAATACGCTTTGGTTTAAACTTCTATATTATTTATATTTGAGTTTAATAAAAAGGAAGCAAATGCGTATTTGTGAAATAAAAAATAAGAAGATAACTTCTTAAATCCGATAGATCGGATAATATGAGTAACTTATTTTGTGCATGGAAAAATTATTGCACCCAATTCACATCGAATGGGGTAGTCAAATGAAAAATCATGATTTAAAGATATGATTAAACTTGAGTTTACCGAACAACTTGTGGGGGAAACTCCTTGTATGTCTAATGACATATTAAATAGAGTTTCACACAAGATGAACATTCCTTATGAGTTATGGAAATATATATAATTGAGCTATAAATATCTCAAAATGTGGGGGTATTTGACTACAAGTTAAATATGTGTGTATATGTCCTTGGGGGATATAACCAAGCAATATAATTAGATATTTTATCTAAAAATAATCAATCAACAAATTGCTCTCATACTTTACTATAGTAAGTCTCGACATATTCGTTGTAGACATACAACGTGATACATTTACTCTCTAATGGAATAAATTTCCATTGATTTTGAGAAGTCCTAAGATAACCTAGCGGATCCACTTAATAAAGGTTTATCTAGCGAGAGAGTTAAATGTGCATCGAGGGAAATAAGTTTAAAGCCTAAATAACTAAGTTACCTTATACGGAAACCTAACTTGGCGACTGGAGATCCCACGGACCAAGTTCAATAGGACAACCAGTTCTGTGTAACTTAAAATGAAGCACTTAGGAGTTTTAACTCTACCTTATTCCTATGATGCAATAAGTGCAACCTACGACGTTCAAAAAGGTTAAGCTATTGCTTTTAATGACGTCTAAAACTTGTAATTTACAAGTGGGTTATAGTAGGATACTCTTTATAGATGCGGTCACCTATGTTAGTGTGAGCTGGGTCGGCTCGTTGAGAACTCTTAAAGGCTGGAATTCTCTAAAGCACTCGCAGAACCCGAGGATGTTCAAGGCCAAAACGAACACAACCGAGAACTTGAACAAGTTCGTTTAGTATGGTGTTAAGTTTATTGTCTTGGTTTACACAAACAGCCGACGGTTCAAGATGAAATAATTCACCGATTGGCTAAGTAAATCCGATAAGCTTTAACTAGGGAAGGTTCAAGATGAAATGTTTCACCTATCCCGATGTTGTACTATTCACTAAGGAATTTTGACAAATAGATCTTATGCGATAAGATTGGAAGAACAATTTTATTCATGTGGGGGATTGTTGGAATTTTTATGATTTCCAATAATTAATATTGAGTAATATTAATTTAATTATGTAAAGATTAATTTCATTTATTTACTTGATCAAAATCATGAAGTAAAGTGAATGAAAATTGTCTTGATTAAATGGTTAAAGTTCAAAAGATGTGCGCTCGGTGTGATCGAGTGATATGACTAGTTTGGGTTTAGATGTCCACAAATATTACTTTTGGGGACATTTAGTAGTTAGTCAAATTATTTGAACTAAAATTCAAATAATAAAATACTTGGCCCAAACCAAATTAATTAATTGGCCCATGACCAATTAATTTTCCTACGTTTTTTGAACTCGGTAAAAAGAACAGACACACCTCTCTGCTTCTTCTTCCAACCATTGCATCCCTCTGTGAATGGATCTCTACAACCTATAAATAAAGGCAGAATCTGGCCAATTCGGTACGGAATTTAATCGGCAATTGAGAGATAGTTCTTCATATTTTTCTTTTTCTGCGTCAAAGTTCCGTTCGTTGTTCAAGTTTGCCGTGGGTCGAATATTCGTGCAAATTTTCGACAACCGATCGTTGTACCTTGGGAGACTACCGGGAAGAGACTGTGCACCGTTGACAGCCCGAAAATATTGTCTTAAGGGAATTGCTTTGGCAAGCCTCGATCGTTCTTTGTGTTTTTCACAATTCCTCTTTTCGACAAACAAGTAAGTATTTTCGTTTACGCAGATTGTTATTAATTATACCAACATTGGAGTGGTGGAGAACGAAAGAGACAAAGAGAGATAGCGATATCGAAAAATAGAGAGATAAAGATTGTGAGAGAGAGCGAGAGAAATAGACGAGACAGAGAGAGTGACATTGAGAGCGACATTGAGAGACGGGAGAGGGCGAGATTGAGAGACGAAAGAAAAAAGAAAAATAAATCTGAGAGAAACGTGACTTTAGAATTTATGAATTTAGGTTAAGGGTAAATTATGGATAAAAGAAAAATTGAGAATGCGACTCATATTTATTTTTCTTAAAATGATCTAGTTCATAAAAAAATATTAAAGTTGTATTCCACATCTAATTATGTTTCCAACTAGGGACCTCTAACATATTACCCCTACAAATTAATCATGTGCCAGAAACCAAATTTGAACTAGTGACACGAGGATTTTCAGTCGTATGCTCCACCAGCTGAGCTATCTCGAACATTCCCAATGTAACGTCCCTATCCTCATTCTTGAAAATAAATCCAACAATGCAAGATACTTCAAATTTGATTTATAATTGAAAAAAAAGCATATTAACAAATTATTTATTTGAAATAATTAGATAGTATTTGGAAAAAAACTTGTTCTGTTTCAAAGTTGCACATGGGGGTGATGACTCGAAGAGTAAATTACGCGCCTATGGGGTTTGGACCCATTCTTGGACATTTTAGACCCATCCATGATACATCACCTAATTCGGTGATTTTTGGGTCCCACCATAAAAAAAACATTTTTTTATTAAATTTATTGAGTAGTTTTTCATCAGGATACATATTATCCAGTAAGATTAAATTATGAAAAACTCATTCAACTATGAATTTTCTTACACCTTTAGTTTCATGAGATCAAATTCAATAGAATTTTTTAAGTTTTATAAATGTTTTTTAAGTTTGTACTCGTTTTGTGCAAAAATGCAGTTTTTTGATGCATCAAAATCTGATA